ATCTGCAGTTCATGTCTAAGTAAGAATCTTAGTGTTTCATTAAGATATAGTAAGACATATTAAGATACTTAATTAGGCTGAGCCTGTTTTGTTGGACTAACAGTTTCATTAGCTACTTGTCTTAAGCTGAGTTTAAATATGTTTAAAATGCAATTATATCAAGATACAAAATAAAAATTTTACTTTTGTTCATGGGAAACTAGAAGTCCTTAAGTTTGTTTAAAGCACTTAAGATTTCATCATCCACAAATGTCTTTTAGCACCACATAACAAAAATATAAATGGATTGTTTTCCATAGAGCTATATTTGTTTGAATAATAAATAGTTTTACTATAATGTATTGATTTAAATGTACCAATTACATTCTTTATTCTTAGAGAGCCATACAGAGACTATGTTACAGACCTCTTTCCGATGTGCTTGTTGGCGACAGACAATGATGCCATGGCTGAGACAGTTTCAGCTTCCTCCGCATCGTGCTGCAGCACTTCGCTCAAAGAACAGCCGAGTGTGGAAGCAGAGCGCTGCAGGGAACGCCAATATTTACCTGGAGAGCAAAAATTAAAAATACATAATGCAGAGGGTGTTTCTCTGGCATTTTTTCAGTGGTAAAACATGTTCTATTTGTCCATTAAAGCTGAGCAATGTTACCAAAGTTCAACTTCAATGCTCTGAGATGTTTAAGACATTTTCTGGCTTTTATGAATTTCATGTCTTCCAAACATTAATATGCCTTCATGTTTTAGTGGTTTGAGTCACCCGGTTGGGTCAGGAAAAGCATCTAGTCTAAAAACTCTTCCAAAAAAATCGTAACGACTTCCTCTGACAACCTCTGAATACTAAAAGGTCTCACCATTTCTGCTCACTGTCTCCTATATTTATTATTTTAATAATTTAATTTTTCCTTATATTTTTGTTCTTTGTGTCTTTAAAATGCCTTTCCCTAAACCATCGACTACTATTTAAACTGTTTTTTTCCCCTGAACAATGGGCAGTTACAATTTCAATATATATTATTTAATGCCCCATGTTCCTTTTTCAATTTTTTAATTTTTTACACATAGTACCAAATCTAATCAAATCTAATAAGATTTACAAGACAATATAAACAGACAGCGGTGAAGTTTAAAAGCAAAACAAATAATGAATGTTTTTTTGCTTTATGACACAGTTGGAATATTACATAGTATATTTATTAGTAAAGACACGTATTGCTAGAACTAGAAGTCATGACATAGATCAAGCAAGATTCCAATTTAAAATCTTAATTGAATAAATAGGCATGAACCTTTTCATAACATGAGGACCCAAATTTGGGTTCTCAGCACTCGCCCCAAGATGGTTTTTAGACCTGTAACATATTCTCTGGGGTCTTGCCTTTATTTTGATACCAAAACAATTAAAATAAACTCTGTAGTTCTTGAGATATATTCAATTCATTTTGGGCATGTTATTTTCAAGCATATTTCTCGAAAACAGGCCTAGTGTCCAAGAGGTTAATAAAGGTAGAGGTCTGTTTTTTTTCTTTTTTTTAAATCAGGATTCAGTTTTTCTATACTTTAACCAAAAAGTACATTTAAAAAAATTTTTTTTCATTTAATCTAAATTGGATTTACAAAAATCCAATTTAGATTAAAAACCTCTTTTTAAAGGGAGTCCTGGCCAAGAGGCAGCAAAGTTACATAATAAACAGAGATACATTAAATTAAATGACAGGTACATAAAACAACAACAACAAAAAAACATATCAAGTAAAACAAGTACAGATCATCGAGGCTGCTTCAAATTCTTTCATTTTCAAATTAAAAGCATTTAAAGATAAAAACTCAGTAAACTTCCAGTTTCTTTGTAAAAAAAAATCCATGCAGAAGGAGTGGCATACAGTAGCTAAAGGCTTTCTTCCCTAGTTCTGTCCGGGCAAAAGGAACAGTGAGCAGCAGCTGATCGTTGGATCTCAGGGCAGAAGAAGCCATGCTTTTCTGCATAAGTAAGGTACAAATGTAAGAGGGCAGCAATCCAAAAATGGCCTTGTAAATAAAA